TTTCCGGGGTTGGCCGCTATCCATGATTGACAACACTGAAATCAATACACTCATAACAGCACAATTATCGTCCATTACCCCATTATATTGTATATACTCATCCGAACTACTTCTCAAACTATAATTAAATTGTCTTATTTAATTATTGGCTAAAAAAGCTTACCATTTTAAATGAGAACCTTATCACAGGACCGAGGTAGTATCTATTACTATGTACCTTAAGTAAAAGTTCACTTTTTGAATGTTTTTCCCCTAGCAACCACTTCTCTGGCCAAACTATTGCCTATTTCATAGGAAGTATAACCTAAGCCAAAGTGGCAAGATAAGGTTCAAGACTTCTTTGTTTTTTACAAAAGCTGTTCAATTGCTGATTGTTTACTAATTTTAATACCATATAACTTACTCAAGTGCTCTCCTCTAGCTAAAACGAAAACTACAATCAGAACTTTCTTTGACTTTTATGTCCCGATGTACACATTTCTTAATAATGTGGTACCTTGAAATGTCTAGGAAACTCTTCAAGAAGAGCAGAAAAAACTGAGAACGGAGACATAGATGTGGAAGCCAATATGCAATCCAGTATCCCCGGGATAGCTGCCGGTGGGACCTGCGGGAAACTGGTCAAGAGTGCATCAACAATTGGGTCCATTGGTCTGGTAGAGGCAAGAGAAAAGCTTTGCAGTTATATTATGGTGAAGAATTCAACTATAACGGCATAACATGAGTTTAATGGCTGGTAAACCCTAGCTGGGTTTTGGGCAGGGCAGGGCAGGGCTTGGAAAAGTGACAATGAGTGTAATTTTTTGTACCCTAGCAGGGTGTATTCGATATGAATCTTGGTCTTTTTTTAATTCATTGACTTTTAAAAAAGTCTATGAACTTTCAAAATTATTGACATTTATAAATGATTTCTATTGATTTTTAATTAAATCTATGAATAAGTTTATAAATTTTTAAAAAATCATACACTTTTAAATTTAGACCGTCGTTGTCGGACGTTGGAATTTTCACTCAAATCGTCCCCTACCGATTTGCCTGAATCTCACAGTTGTCCGCCTCCGTCACTGAAGTTTGTTGAAGCCGTTATCGGACTGACTCGTCACCAATAATCAAATGAATTTGGTTATGCAAAGGAACTATGGGCAATTAATTATATTAATCAATCAAATTAGGGGTTAAATATATGGAGTAATGTTTAGTCTTAAGAAAAATCAAACATTTGATCGTACTTTGGAAAGAATGCTATGTTTTAGTCCTACCAAGACTAATTTCCTCGGTATAATATTATAAAAAGAATTAAATAAATAAATGAAACAAATGTAATTCATCCTGCGACGCACAGTTCTACAAGAATATATGAAGCATAAGCATCCAAATTTATTTTTATTAATAAGGAAATTCAAATTTTCAAGAATGCTCAACAAACTCGGTCTCTTTGTGATCAATTATTATATTACACAACTCCATGAGTAAGAACACTAACTATTACACAAGCGTTATATTCATTACGACATATGTTATGATCATATGTGCAATCAAGTTTTCCTTCTTAACAATTGTTTTCTTTTCATTTTTGGTTTGTTATAATTTGTTTACTTATTTATGATTAAATATTTATTAATTTGAAATTATTTTTTTATGTGTTAGCGGTTTAACGATGACACAAATTAATAGTTACAAACAATCTTCTTAATGGTTAACTAACAACATACTAGAATTGCACTGATATAATACTATCGATTTTTACATCGGTTCATCGAAGAACTTCTAGGACCGAATCGACATTAGATTAATGGTTCTTCAAATGGTTCATAATTTTCTTTTAAGAACTGAACCGATCTCACCCCCTACATTTTCCTTCGCAAGACGATATATATATATATATATATATATATATATATATATATATATATATATATATATATATATATATATATATATATATATATATATATATATATATTTTGGGTAATAATTTCCAACTTCTCATTAATTAAGCATATCATTAGCCACCTGGCTTACAAGAAAACCAGGAATAAAAGAATAAATTATGCTCTGATCTCATAGTGATACATGCGTCCTAGCAATCACATGGGCCGCACGATTCGCATTTTGCCTTCAAAAAAGATCTTAAAATTACTCTTTGTTTAAAGCAGCATCCGTATATCATCAATAACTAAATCCCGGTATGAGTTTCCTTCCCCTTTTTTCTTTCTCCCTTGCACTACCACTTGAGCATATGATTCTATTACAACCTCTAACCACTCTTCTTTGGTAGCTCCCAAAATAGCCTCTCTAATTCGCATAAGCTTCCCTTTCAGTCGGAGACCATCCCGCTCTTCTTGACTCCCCAACTGCCTTAACAAACTCCCCATGCTCATCCCTAGCAATCCATTCCCAAGATCTAATCTCTTCCATATGATTGACCGCAACATCAACATTTATCTTGATAATTCCCCGGTTGGGTCTCTGCCAGCTCATCCCCGCATCTCGTCCCCGTTGCGTCGTCTTTGAGCCCCGCTATTGCGCCTCACAAGACGATATATAAATAGTCGCTTTTTAATTTTGGTTTAAGTTTATCTTGTATGTGTATGAGTATTAATGTAGAATTTAGCGTAAAATAATAGAAAATCATTTAATTTCCAAACCTTGCATATTGAGACCTGTTGACTGGTTTGTGATCCCCGATAAATATTTAGCCAAAACAAGTGATGGGGTTATGGGACTAGGCCCAGAGCCTAATCGGCCCAGGCCCCGAACTTGGACCAGCGGGCCCAAGCCCAGCAACCCAGAGCTCGAGTCAGCCCAACCAACCAGGGCAATCAAGGAGCGGAAGCCCAAGAGAGCCTGTCGACCAGCCCAGCGAGGAGCCTGCGGTCCAGCCTACCCGGGAGCCTGCTTTCCAACCTAGCCAGGAGCCTGTCGACCACCAGCCCAGCTGGGAGCCTGCGGTCCAGCCCAACTGGGAGCCTGCGGTCCAGCCTACCCGGGAGCATTCCTTCCAGCCTACCCGGGAGCCTGCGGTCCAGCCCAACTGGGAGCCTGCGGTCCAGCCTACCCGGGAGTCTGCCTTCCAGCCCAGTGGGGAGCCTGCCTTCCAGCCTAGCCAGGAGCTTGCTGACCACCAGCCCAGCTGGGAGCCTGCGGTCCAGCCCAGCTGGGAGCCTGCGGTCCAGCCCAACTGGGAGCCTGCCTCCAGCCCAACGGGGAGCCTGCCTTCCAGCCTACCCGGGAGTCTGCCTTCCAGCCTACCCGGGAGCCTGTCTCCAGCCCGGTCAGAAGCCTTCCTCCAGCCTAGCGGGAAGCCCACCGTCCAGTCCAGCAGGAGGGAGCCCAAGCGTCCAGCCTGCCAGCCAGGCTGACCTGCCAGCCAGGAAGAGTAACGGCCAACAATCAATGCGCTACTTAATTATGTGTTTAATTCCGTATTAATGTTGTAATTAATTTAGTCATTATTATGTTCGGCAGTTACCATTTGTAATCGCCTATAAAAGGCAATTCGAATTTCAAATACAGATATGCTATTTCTGGCTAACTTTCCATATTCGTACTTTCCTAATTCCTGCTTGAGTGTTCTTACGTAGCTTTCCTAAAAGCCTACGAGCGTCCTATTTTTGACCAACAACAAGTGTTATTCTGCAACCAGATCTATGTGTACTTGGGACGAGTTAGAAGACAACAAAAAAAGTCCACGAAAATCATTGATTAGGAGAAGAGACAATTGCAGAGAATAAATGTACTAAGAATGGGTAAAAAGTCTATGAAAATCCATGATTTTAGAAGTCAGTAAAAATGAATGGAAGTTTGAATACGCTTAGACTTTTATGGATTTTTAAAAGTTTACAATGAATACAACTAGACCTTTTTTTGACTTTTTAAAAGTCTACATTGATTGAAATTCATTCATTTTAATACACCTAGACTTGATTCAAAACTCACAGTCGTCCGCCTCCGTCACCGGAGTTTGTTGCCTCCGTCGCCGAAGTTCGTTTAAAATCCATGGACTTTTAAAATTTTGTCACTAATTCCTATACAATACACCCCCTTAAATTATTGTACACTACCTGGAGTCCGTCCACCGTACAACCGGTTGTACGGTGAGCACCGTACAGCCGATGACATTTTTGTAATATAATATGAAAATCGCGGTTTCTGCTATCTGAGCATTAGTGTACTGTTAATGAGCAATAGTCCAATTTCAATGAGTATTAATAGTGTAATAATGAGCATCGTGTTATTATTACAAGAAGACTGATATCACAACTAAAAACGGTGGCATTTTCGTAATTTCAATGAAAAGTCGCGGTTTTCGTTAGATGAGCATTAATACACTTGTAATGTGTAACACTGTCCCCAAGCATATTTACTTTTTAGTGAGTTATGTAATAAACCTGGAAGAATGAATTATGAATTTGCGAAGTTGTAAATTTCGTTATTTCTTTTGCGTGAATAACGAATTGCATGTGGGGCCCACATCGGGAGCGGGGGCCACCCGATAATCCCGGGATCACACATTATATTCATCTTGGTATAGATAATATGTATATGGTGGTGGATATTTTAGTAGGCCCATGGAAATAGCATAGAGTTGACCCGTTGGTCAAACGAGGCCCAAATAACGGTATTGGTAATTTATCGGATAACAGTCCGAAATGAATTTCGGAGGCTCCTAAATTAAAATTGGGAAATGCACATCTATTCTAAAGTCCTATAATGATTGAGAACATTTGATATATTTTATTTGGCCCAATAAATAAAATATAATTAAAACAGTCCGAAAAATACAACTTTCGAGACCGATTGTACACTTCTGGATTCAAAGGGGTGACCTCCCACATGTGTGGGGGCCAACCCACGTTTTTGGCCTTGCAAAGACTGAGGAGGTCTGCATTTGTGTATGGGGAATAATGAAAAATTGGCTTGGGGAGCAAAGCAATTAAATAGGGTGGGACCTTTTCATCCCATTATTGTGAGAAATGCCAAAATGGCATTCTCAATCACCCCCACCCCATACATTTCGACCAAGCTCATCAAGAGAAGAAGGAAACCTATGCAAACTTCATCTTCCATAGCCAAACTCAAGCCCAAGCTCAAGCAAGAAAAGGGGAAAGCAGTTTGAAGAAGGAAAAAGATCGGAAAAGTGTGAAGAATTAAGGTAATGACCTTATACTAACTTTTCCTCTTCTTCTTACCTACCTTATGAATTATGTATCATATGGAGGACCCCTAGAACTAGTCTACACGTTTAGAAGTGTAGAACAAGGGGTTGGAAGGTAGTTCTAAGTCCAAGAATGGACTTAGAAGCCAAATGACCGGTTCGCCGGAAAATAACCTTTTAGAGGTTATTTGTGTTGATATGGGTTTTGTGATGATAAAACCTTGTTAGGAGCTAGACTAAGGTGTTTCTAACTGTCGTCGGAGTATCGTCGGAGTATCGCCGGAGTATCACCGGAGTTCAACCGAGAAGGGTAGAACTTCTTAAAACTCATTCGGGGTGAGGATGGTTGACTATATTGCTTATAATTAGTGAGTTAATTTCATAAGATTACCTAAGGTAATTAAATGTGATTTTCATGGATTATTAATGATTAATAATGCCTAAATGAAAATACTATTGATATGAGAAGTGAAGCATGATATACAAATTTAGAATAAATTGTGTATGATTGTGTGATATGAAAGTGATGGCATGATGATGGGATTAACTATGAAATGTTGTGATAAAATATACTTTTACTTCATGTAAGGAATTCATGAATGGATAAAAGTGATATTTTTGATATTGAGATTAAATCATATTTGGATTGGAAAATCAATTGAGATGAATTGTTTGACTGTGAATTAAGAACTTGGTTGTTCTAAGATTATCCGACTAGTATTGAAATACTAGTCGGGAGATTAATATAAATAAATGATGGAATTAATCCTAAGAGATAGGGTTGTGAATAGATATGCCTTAAGTAGTCTTAAAAGATACTTTAAGGTTGAATTGTATGAACACCAAGGTGTGTTAGGGGTAAGCCTAAAGGCTACCCAAGTGAATTGATTCTAGGCATAAGGATTTGCTTGAGAATTGGACCATGGAAATAAATTAGAGTCGGACTCTAGGATTGCATGAAAATGTAGTTGGGTCGAGCCCTTGCCATGTAATGTGATTAGCATGGAAACGTAGTTGGGCCGAGCCCTGTCATGTATTTGTGATCTTCGTGGAAATGTAGTTGGGTCGAGCCCTTACCACGAAGTTATGGTTGGTATGGAAACGTAGTTGGGCTGAGCCCTTGCCATACAATTTTGATGTGTTAAATTGAGTTAAAGGATTGTATAGAAATGTAGCATGGAAACGTAGTTGGGTCTTTCTTGCTTTGTCCACCAGAGCCGTGACGGCCCTGGGCACCCTGGGCGGCCGGGGATGCTCCCGGGGCCGGCGAAGGATTTGTCTTCTTGGAGGGATGGCCTCCATCTTTTTTGTGGTTGTGGAGCTCGTCAGCGTCAGCGTACAAGCTCCCGCGCTGAAGCGCCTTTGCATACGACCTCGGTGGGTCGGTGATGAGGCTCCTGGCATACGGGGAGCTGCGGAGGGCTCCCTGGTATAGGACGAGGAGGGTGCGCTCATCAGCCTCCTCAACCTCTTCGGTCTCCCTCATCCACCGATCGATAAACGACCGGAGGGGTTCGTCATGTTGCTGTTTGACGAAGAGGAGATGTGTGAAATACTTCTTCGCACGCTTCCTCCCGGCAAAGTGGGTGAGGAAGCGCTGGGCAAGGTCCTGCCATGAGTCTATACTTCGTTCGGGAAGCGCGTTGAACCACTCATACGTCGGCCCCTCAAGAGTGGAGAGGAACCAACGGCAGAGGTATTCATCCGACGCGTTCACCATGAGCATGTTGTTCTGATAGCGGCTGAAGTGCTCCTGGGGGTCTGATCGGCCGTCGTAGGACTTGATGACGTTTCCCCTGTATTTCTCCGGGATGGGGGCCGAGAGCACCCTGTTAGTGAAAGGGGTCCTGGTCCTGACCTGGACGACGGGGTCACCTCGCCCTTCGGCCAACTCCCTTTCAAGGGCGCTGACCTTGTTCATGAGAGCGTTGAGGCCAGAATCATTGGAGGCACCGGGTGTGGGGATGTTTGCCGATTGCCTGGCCTCCATCTGGGCCAGCCTCCTTTCCAGCTGGGCGATGACCTCGTCCCGGGGATCCCTGGCGGCTGCAGCGGCACCCTGCTGGTTCTTCATGCGCTCGTCGTGGGCCGCATTAATCTGGTGGCGCATGTCGTCCTCGTGCAACTTTCCCTTGCCCCTGTCCAGGCGGGGCTGGTCCGCTGTCCGGGACACAGACCCCAAGCTTTCTCTTGGCGAGCCAGGCCGACGCTCACCAATCCGCCCTGCCATCCTCTCCGAAACCGGACAACGGCGCGTGTCACCTAGCCTATTGAAGGCAGAGGCTTTTCCACGCGCTGGGGTCTGCCCAGAAAGAAGAGGGGAAGCGGGGTGGGAGTGGGACGACGTCGTGTCTTGGGCTATCACCCCCTCATCGTTGCCTAACCTGACGGCCAACGGTTGGGGCTGAGGAGGTGGAGTGACGTTCCCCCCAGTCCTTGGCAAGAGTGCGCTGAGGACGGTGGGGTTCTGAGCCAAGCTGGCGATGATGACCGACAACGCGGCCTGGACCTGCGGATCCACAGACGGAGAAGCTGCGGCCATAGGCTGGGCCGGGGCGTGGCCTGTCTTCTCCGCGCGCTTCTTGTCCAGGCCGATGCGAGCATCAGGGCCGCCACCGTTGAGCTGGTTGCGTAGGTCCGTCGTGAGGTTGATGGCCTCCTGGAAGATGTCCCCTCCGCCGACCTAGTTGTCCGTGGCGTCCTCCTCATGCTCCCTGGTCTTCTGATCCTCAGGGATGGTCTTGCTGACGAGGTTGCGGTTTGACTTGGTTCTTCCCATGATCAGTGGTTAGCTGCGCTTGGTAGCGACGAAGGGTGCTAACTTGATTGTTCTAGCTCTCAATGAAAGCACCAAATGATAGAGTATATATCTAGAGAGAAGTGAGAGCTAGAGAGAAGTGCAAGTAAATGCTTCAATAAAATGATTTTGTAACCCCTACAACTACCTCCAGAGGAAGTATTTATAGGAAAAAACGGGCTGGACTCCCAAGCCTTGGGTTTGGGAGGCCCATTTACAACTGGATCGCTATTGGACCGAATACAAAGTAAATGATGGGATACATAGATGAATAAGTGTAAAATCTAGTTCTGCAGGACCTCCGTGGCCGACGAGGTTCTGGCCGACGAGGGCACGGCCGATGAGGGCACGACCGATGAAGACACCCTAGTTCCCTGGCTTCAGGATCATATTCTGAGTCGGTCCCTCTTCGGCCGACGAGGGTCCTTAGGCCGACGAGGGCACTGCGTAGTGGCTTGTGCTTTCTGTTCTTCTGAGTATGTGGGTTCTGGGGCCTAGACCCATATACTCCATCATATATCTATAATCAACTTTTATAAACTTCGATATGCGAATTTAATGTAGTATGATACTTTTGAAATATGCATTGAATGTCATTTTAAAAATGAGCATAATATCGGTATCAAATGAGCATACACAATGAGCATTGGAACCCTAACAATGAGCATTATAATGATACTTTTGAAATATGCATTATATAACATTTTAAAATGAGCACAAAACTAGTACCAAATGAGCATATATAACTTACAAGATGAGTATCGATAAATTCAAAACTCATTTGAAATTTTTAATGTACTTATCTGTATATGCTCATTTCTTTTCAAAATAAAAACAAATAAGACTTGTACCTATTTCTTAGTCGATTGAATGAATTCTCAATTCCAATTCAACCAACACTACCTTTAAAAAAAGTATCCAACACTACAGTGCTCCGTATTAATTAACTACAGTACTCCGTATTAATTAACTTCAGTACTCCGTATTAACTACAGTACTCCATATTTTTTAGGAAACTTGTATCTCGCACTCTAACGCTCAAATCATCCTTAAGCCTGAGCACGGGGATCGGATCCGAGGGTCTCCTCTGTAAAGCTTCCACCCATAGCCGCCTGGAAAGAAACATCTCCACTCCCAGCAACCACGTCCGCAATTACTACGATTTAGGGTTGAAGTTGAATTTAATTTCAAAAATACCCGGCTGTACGGTGTGTGCACCGTACAGCCGGTTGTGTGGTATAATTTACCCACTATTTGTGTACATGGACAATTATTGTTTTTTAAACAAATTGTCTATGTATACAGGTAATAGGAGGTGTGTGTACAATTTGTGCACTAGTTTTGTGTACAAATGTAATTTTTCTTTTTTATTTAGAGTGGTGTATTGCATATAGAATTAGTGGCATCGTTTTTAAAGTCCATGTATCATAAGAGTGAGCTCGTTTGGTAATACCAAAATTGGCTAATCCTACTGAAATCTATAAAGTCCTGGTTGAATAGGCCGATTCTGCTAAGAGAGATTTATCACCGATATAACTAAAACCTCATGGATTTCCCATTCTATGACTCATTGCTTATTTTTCCTAATCTATGACCGCACATGATCATTCCCATGCACATGTGTTTTAAGATTCTTTTAAATGTCAATAGTGTCCTCCAATACCTAAATTTCCGGCGAAGCTTAATATCACGTATGATAGAGCATAACCGTCCGCATCATAACTGACTTGCGCATAACCGGCGGATTAGTAATGGGAGTATCCTAAAAATATGGATATAATTAATAGAAGGTAAGTATATTCATTATTTTTTTATTCTTATCCTTAACACCCGACGGTCTTCTTCCATGAAGTTCTACCATTTCACTCCCAGGCTTTTACTGAAGCATTATCCATGGATTTCGTCCCCATAGGTTACCCGGAAATGTGGATTATGATTAAATATGATGGCCAATGGATCTCAAATACTTTGTTCTCTAGTATTCATGTCGCCGGCTTAACCATACCATCAAATTGTACGTATGATTCTCTATATTCTCGTGTTTGCGCTGATATGGGTGAGAATTATTCCGGGAAGAATATTAAGATCTCATACGTTTTGGCTGCGTGCCCACCTCCCATTTTTTTTGGATGAAATGTAAATATATTAAAACCACCCAAAAATAACATATTACAATGTATCAAACCAAATCAGAAGAAACGACTATCTAAGTTAGACTAATCTAACCTAAATACAATGCCTCACAAACATAATGGGTTTTATCCCATAATCACACAAATACGTGAATCAACTACATCCCTAAATCAAGTACTCAGTAAACAAGGCTTTAGCCAAGTCCCATTGGGTTATCTGCAACTACTTTCTCTTTTTTCTCTTTTTTCAACCTCCTTAGCTATTCGAGTTTTGTCTAATACTCTTTAAGAAGTAACTCTTCATCATCACTCATTAATGAGCCTTCCGTGTCAGATTCTTCCTCTTCGGTGTCAACCGGTGTGGTCTTTGGGACAGTCTCCACGGCCTCCATTACCGGTGAGGTAACCGGAGTGACATTTGGTGTTAAAGTGGCAGCCACTAAATCAGCCCTCGGTGGTGCTCTCTTCTCAATTCCTTTCTCTCCCTCAATGGTTCCCACTTTAGCATTTTCTTTTTCTTTGTTCTTCGGGCTCTTCCCAATTACCTCAATTCCGTTTTTCTCCCCCTTCTCAGCCTCAATCATATCCCATTCTTTTGTTGCTAGTTTTTTGCAAATAAATGGGTGATGCCCATATACTTTGCAATGGAAACAAAAGTTGGGAAAAGTTTCATAGACCATTGATTGTGTGACTACTTTGCGGGAAGGTAGTCGTATAGGAAATGAAAGCGGCGGTGGTTGGGAAACATCAACTTCAATCAAAACTCTAGCAAATAGATGATTGCTTCTATCTTGAGTGATTTTGTCCGTAGCTAACGGGACCCCTGCCATAGAAGCAACTTCACTCATATCCTCCTCATTCCATAGTTTCATATGTAAATTGGGAAATTTGACCCAAATGGGGACTTTAAGAAATTCATCATCATCAAAAGAAAAGTCTTCCGAAAGCGATTTTAGCATGAGTTGCATTCCAAAGATGGTATAGGGACCCCCATTCAACACTTTGGTTTTATCTTCATCATTTTGGAATTTAAAAATGATCCACCCCTTGGCATGGGATTTGACAAGTCAACTCACCCCCAAATATTCTTCAAGTCATAAATAGCCTTAAGGCTGGGGAATAGGATTAGAATTGTAAAATTTCCTGTTTTCCCCAAGGAAATAATATTTAAAATTGAATACTTGACAGGGCAGTTTTATATTTTTCGGTAATGCAACCAACAAGACAAAAACCCCACATTTCAACCATAGTGGGTAACACCCTATCCGAAAAATCCAAGGATTTGCCTTACGGTGGAATATACCTCAATTTAAGGCCATTTGATGGAGCCATATTATCCTTAAAGAGAGAAGTCCAAGGTGTTTTTTTCATCACTTCAATCTGTTTTGCAGCATCATGAACCTCATTAACTACTGCAGTAACTTTCCTAGTAGTTTTGGAGCCCAATTCAACTGAGCTAGGCTCAGTTCTAGCAGGAGCAGCAGGTTGAATCATCACGGCAGCAGGTTGAATCATCCCAGTAGCTTTTTCCTTTACAGTTCCCTGCTTACCCAGACTTAGTTTGTCCTCAGGAACTTGCAGTTTATTAGCAGAAGAGGCCATAGTCTTCTGCCAAGGGAGTTCAATAGGTTTGACAATCCCAGCTTCATCAGTACCTCTTGTTTTAGAAATGTGAGCAGAGTCCTTTGTGCAGTCACTCGCAGGTGTCTGCTCATTCCCAGTTTTTCCATATTCTAGGATGGGGAAGTTGTCATCCAAATCTGCTAAAACGTTGAAATCCGCTGCAACTCTAGCTCTGGTATTCCTGGAAGGGGTATCCACAGCAATACCCTGTTTCTTTCGTGCCATGAAGTGCAACATAGAACAGACTCAGAGCACAGAGCACTAATTCGCGTGCCCACCTCCCGTGAATGTATGTGATGACGTTAGTCTACTCTTTTATCTACAATTGAAGAGTTTTCAAAAAGACCCGATGCAAATGCCGTTATGTGTTGAATTTGTATCCAGTGAGGAGGTTTCTTCTACCACTGGAGAGGAACAAAGCATTACAGTATTTCCGGGTATTCACAATGATAGTGGAATTAACCACACAAGTAATCTGGAAGAGCGTGGTGGATTTCGTGACGAAGAAAATAATTCCGGTCACAATGTTGATATGGACTTTGAATTTGACCACATTTCGAGTGCTGAAATTACGAGGTTAAATTCGTTGGTTGATGATAAGATTCATAATATGCCTGTTTCAATCATTCTGAACCTACGCGCATTGAATTGAATAACATCTATGGAAGCAAGAAGGAACTTGATTTTCACTTAAAGATGTATGCCATTACAAACTTCTTTCAGTATAGAATGAAGACATATGTCATGTAAGTGTATTTCATCATACACTTTCATGTCATCTCCACGGTTTAAACAATACGTACTACATTTCCCCTATGTGTTTACGTTATTTAATTGTGTACATTGCCAAAAATATATTTTAATTGCTACTGTTTTTTATGTCATCATACATTTTTTATTTCCTATTCCATATGCATTCAATTTTTTGATTATTTTTATTTCGAACATTGTGCATTAAATTATTGTCCACTGTACTGCCCAAAATTTTCCCAGATTTGACTCTAAGCACACATGCCCCATTGATGTACGTGAACGAAGTAGTCGTCAGGCTACGTCTAGGATTATTTCTGAACTTATCAAACATGAGTACGGTGATCCATCCAATAAGTCATACCCTCCGAAATCAGTGATGCTTGATATGCAGACCAAATATGGCATTTACATGTCATACAAAAAAGCATAAATTGCAAAAGAATTGGCAATGAAACTGGCTATGGGATCTGAAAAAGATTCATATGCATGATTACCTTCAATGTGTCATGTGCTTGAAAGGATTAACCCAGGTTCTATTGTTACTTTTTCATGCAAGGAGAATGGTGAATTTAATAATTTTTTTATGTGACTTTCTGCATGGAGGGAAAGTTGGATTCATTGCATTCCGGTTATAGCTGTGGATGGGTCTTTTTTAAAGTCTTATTATAAGGGTACAATACTCACTGCATGTACACAAGATGCAAACAAACAAATATTTCCATTGGCATTTTGGTATTTGTAGTGGTGAAAATAATCTGAATTGGTCATGGTTCTTCATCATGTTGAAGCATTCGCTAATGCATAAGGATGATCTATATATTGTTTCTGATCGGCACGAGGGCATTATTAGTTCTGTGCGTTCTGTATTTCCTCATGCGGAGCATAGTTATTGTGTTTACCACATTTTGGCTAATTTGAAAACAAGATTTCATGGCTCTCAAAAAACTGTGTCATGGAAGTTTTTGCAGGATGCTCGTGTTGGACCCGTGTATGAGTGTGAAGAGTACCTTCAAATGCTTGATAGTGAGGATCCACACATTCGTCTGTATTTAGAGCGAATGGGTCATGACAAATGGCCTCGTGCTTATGCTAGTTGAAATCGGTACTCGGTTATGATGTCAAACAATGCCGAGTCATTAAATGCAGTTAATGCTACCGCCCGAGAATGCCCAATATGTAAGTTGATTGAGTTTATTATTGCACGAATGCAAAAGTGGCTTTGTGAACGGTGAGAATCTTCATCATCAAACAATTGCCGTTTATCTGCACATTTTGAATCTGAACTAGCAGTTTTACAATCTATGGCAGCCGTCATGAGAGTAATGCCATCAACTCATTGTCTTCATTGCACTTTTTTGTTTTTTAAAAAAGATATCCTATCGTGATGCATTATTCAATTAGTTTTACTGTATTAAATATTGTATTACAGTTTTTAATATTTAATAATAAATTATGCAGGTCAAACCATCATGTGATTTTGAGTATGAGGTGTTTGATAAGAGATCTCGCTCTTATGTTGTCAACTTGAAGGAGCGCACGTGCACTTGTCGAGAATTTCAGCTTGATGGATTTTTATGTGTACATTCCGTTGCAACTATTCGCTCCCGTCCAGAACTTTCTTTCTACGATTACATTTCAGAATTCTATACGGCACATCATTGGGCACAAACATATCGCGGTATTATTCATCCTATTAGGAGTCCGGATAGTTGGATGGTACCTTCACATGTTAAGTAAATCACTTGCAGTCCCCCATCATGTGAATCACGACCTCCTGGAAGTCCGAGGAAAAGAAGAATTCCTTCTACAGGAGAACATGTTTGGAGACAAACATGCACTCGTTGTCTCATGGTTGGACACAATAGAAAGACTTGTAGAAATCATATTTCGCTACACATGTGTTAAAAAATGTTTTTAATTATTTGCCGTTTTCATTGCAATGCACTTTTGTCCTGCTTTTATTCAGACACTTCGTTTGTTATTCATTGTTAATTTAATGCTATGAATGAATGACACTTCGTTATTCATTGTTAATTTATTTATTTCCCTAATTTCGTTATTACAGGTTAATTTTCTGATAAATTAATTACGTTAGTGTCCCACTTTTCTCAGAATGAGAATCATTTCGTTAATGTATTGCCTTAAAGGCATTAATTATATCTCAAACTCACTGTTGGGATTGGAAAATTCTTCTATTCAATATCAAGAACATAATTACAATAGGAGGAGCAAACTCTCACACTCAACTATTACAAAAACCAATCCTCACCAATACACTTCTACACTAAGTGTATTTCACTCTTCACACACTTTTCTCACTTTCTAAACTCATGATTATGAACAACATGGAGCACTCTATTTATAGGACTAGTTTGGAGACAAGAGGAGGTTGCATCCAAGCTTCTCCATATCTTCTCCATATCTTCTCCCACACCTATTTGATGGAGAGCTCTTCCCAAGAAGGTGCTTCCATGTTAAGGTGTCTCTTGGCAACTTCCAAGAAAGAAGGTGGAAGATCCTTACACTCACATCATCAGTGGGCCTCTTACACATATGGGTGCATAAATCATTTTCTTTTATTGCACTCGATTCCTGAATCATCCATGTCAACCATACAAAATAATTGGCCTCAAAATAATACAAATGATTCTTGAATGATTCATTACTGCCTCAATTCCATGCAATGTCTTGCAAAATAGAATTACTGCCCTCGTTGAACACTAAGCATAAAATCATTGTAATTATAAATTTCACATGCAACCTCTAACATTTAAACTGTTCTAAAAAAATCCACCATTCCAAAACAACACATTTAAATTGTTCTAAAAAAAACACCATTCCAAAACAATACATTACAACACTGTAATCATAACATAACAATCTTGGTTCATTAGTTTTTCAAGCCTAAGCCTCTATGACACCGAAATGTACTAGTAGCTCTGTAGTCATCTTAATCCGGTATGCATTCATATCTTCTGGTCTCACGTACTCAACATTTATACCCATCATCAAATACTCGGCCATCTTTAAGATAAACATTCCACAACTATCACTATCCACCAATAAACAAAATGATCACTTCCTGATTTGACACTCTTTTGGCATTATAACACTTGCATATTTACTGTAATCGCTAAATACATACCTGTCATTTTGTTGTGGGCATTCATTCACCATATGTATTTGCAAGAAGTCTTCACCCATAGGACCCTCACTTCGCTCATTGTACACTACTAGCTTATCCATCACTTTAGGTAAAAACATTTGCATGCACAGTAGATAATGGTGAAGGTGGATGTTTGTTTCACCTCGCCGAATGCTAGAATCATACACTCGTATGCATTTTCCACTTATGTCCAGTACCAGAAGGATCCAATGGTTACCATTATTCAGCGGCATGTACACAATGTCCGCTTGTGCCCATGACAACACGTAGTCCAAACGTGTCCCAAGTATGATACCCATTATATTCCTGTTTAAAGCAGTGTCTGCCACTGTCGTTGCACTGTTAATGTGTGTATCGTAATTCTGTTTCAGGAAATGCATAAACGTCGTGTCTGCTGTCGTGATCTTTTGTTGCAATTGGTATTGCTCAGCTTTCATCTTTAAGAAGTACATCCCCATCTCCACATGCTTAAAAAAATCAGCATTACATCCACTTTATTAATCATAGTCAAGTAATAATACCTCATATGTACGTACTCATTCATCCCAAATTACTATATTAATTTTTAATTACATAATATGTACTTACCAAGTCACTCAACCAGTTCCCTGGGAAGTATAGTGCGTAGTACCATGACTTACTATCAATGCTTTCATCCCCCATTCTCCTATCATGCCTTTCAGAGTTAGCTTCTCATATTCTATCTTGTATTTCCTATCATTACTCTTTTTATGATTTTTTAGTAATCCAGAATGCATGAATTCTGATGTCTTTTTAAGCAAATCTCCATCAGGCATTTTTGAATGATCTAGACTGAATGGCCCTACTATTGCCTACCCTACATCATCACATGCATCTTCCTCCTTTCCTTTTTCTTGTGTCCTCCTCCTTTTCTTTTTTTTGGGCCCAGAAAATGTGAATCTATCTGGGCACTTTGCCTGCCGTTTTGGTCTTTTCTCAACTGTCAATGGGGACGTGTTTCGTGTGTATACCTGGTCCATCAACACAAGTTGTTTTCAATAATTATTGAACTAATAACTTCTATTCAACACAAAAATATTGTCTTACATTTACTTTAGTAATCATAGTGAGTTAATAAAACCTACTATGTATGCAGTAATTCCTCCCGGATTAATATATTGATTTTTAATTAAGTAACATGTACTTGTATTCATATACACCCTTTGCGAATCTTACCACAACTTGGGAGTTCACTGGTTCTAAACAATCTTCTTTTGGTATTGGGTCGATGTATTCAGTCCCCTTGACATGTTCATTTGACATCTACATTAACACAAACCCATAATAAACTGACTTTTTTTATACACAATTAAGTATTATATGTGTTTAGTTTACACTCATTTAATTGGGCAGTAATGGGTTACTATCTTACTCCATCTTCTGCAGTCTTTGCATCCCGGCCCCTTTGAACCAACTTATATGTTGTGTGATGTTCATCAGATGTGTCTTGTAAAGGCGATTCCATGTATTCTCCCCGTTGAGCCTTAAAAATCACATGTATTAGATTACTACTTCATCTAAACACATATATTGATAAAATCCCATGATTAACCTCATGTACCACTTACCTCTCTAGTCTTCACTTCATTCTCTCTTGCCTTTTTGTCCACATAGATGCTTTCTACTACAGAATCCACATGGACCCACAATTGTTGTGTATCCATGAAACCATCTCCCTCTTCAAACTCCTTGTTTGGCTCCTGCTCTTCTTTGTCTTCATTATTTCCCGTCATGTTTGCTACAACTTTATCCACCTCCATGATCAATGTTTGTGTGTCAATCACGCCATCACATTCGAAGAAACCATCATTTTCTGCTCTATCTTCGTCATCTTCACTGTGTGGTTCACTGTTATCTATTCTATCCTCACCAGCTTTGTGTATTTCAGCACTCTCATTCAATTTCGCATCAACTTCCACATCATAATTTTCTCTGTCCTGGATGACAGTGTCATTGAATTCTAGTCCTAACTCAAAAGTTGGCATGTCTACTTTCGCTTCTTCACTCTTTTTCTTCCTAGCCGTCCTCATGCATCTATCCACATGTGCAACTTTTTCTTTATATGAAAACCACACAATCTTTCCACTACTCTTTCAAGCTTTGTTATCCTTTTCCTTTGTAAGACCACTTCTGCCATTATACTCTCTAGCATATTGTCCTCCGCTGCAACGCCATGCTCTTTTCTCTTCTTCATTTTGCTAATTCCAGAATCTCTCTTTTCTTTTCCACCATCACTGCCTAATGTCTGCAACTTTTGTTCTTTACCACATGTGCATTCTCGTTTTCTCTTTGCTTTTTCCACTTCTATTACAACACTTTTTTCAAGACTTCCTTCATTTCCCTTTGTTTTCCCAGATGTGCTTGATGAGCATTGATTCCCTCTTTGTGTTCCTTTTTCTGTTGTTCCAGCTTCTAATAATGCCTTCCTCTCACCCTCGATCTGAAGCTCTTCATTGGTTGGTTTCATATCTTCTCATTCAAACTACAAAACAAAATAATAACAATGCATCATAGTTTTAAAATTATAATAACTTGTAATAAAATATAGGTAAGGACAACTGTTTTCACCTGATCACTCTTAAATTTAAGTTCCTCCAGGATGCTCTGACAAGGCCTTGCAGGAGCTGACCACTTCAGTATTCTAGGCCATACTGCATCTGTGCTTTGCTTTTTCACACACGCTTTTTGTTTTTCAAGGGAGGGGAACGTTTCAAACGCCCAAATTTGTAAAACAAATAAGTATCCTTGGAATGTCACCCTACTTGATTTGCTTTTGTTAAGCACTCCAACACACTTGTTTCATTTTTCCACCAAATCATGCCACACCACTTCCCCCCACGGGTACTTATTGAACTCTTCTAAATCATCTACTAAGTTAATGTACTCATCTGGTAGCTTTGTAGTGGATTGGTTTCCTAAAACATAGCTCCCTAAGATATGCAACCATGCAAGCTTCACGACATCTAATGGCATCTTCCATTTTTTTTAATCTTACGCACTGAAATGCCTATTTAATCTCACCCCTTTCAACATTGTCTTTATGAGGGAAGTACCTACTCCATATGTCTCCAACAATGTTGTTTGTTTGACATTTCTTCTTGCCAAAACTAAGCCCTGTAATAAGGGCTAAATCTATTTTCTTCATGCTAACTAGTTTCCCCCTATTACGAACTCTATTTTCCTATTTTCTTGAATGGGCTCAACTCTCTCAACATAATTAGCCATTAACAATATTAGCAATTTCCCATTAATCCACTAGATGTTGCCTATGTCTAGGAAGTATCCAAATGTTGTTTTTCTAAACTCCACCAGATCATCATCACTTAGATTCTCTTTAAGGTTCTTCAATGCCTCATATGGATTACAATAACTATTAATCTTCAACTTCTCTTTTTTCAATGCCACCGCATCACTTTCACACTTTCGCTCATATTCCTGCAAATTATATGCACACGGATACAATATTGTTCACCATAACTACTAGGGAGTATATCACATGGCCCTTATTACAATACATATACTCAGAAATGTCAATATGTAATGCATGTGCCCAGTTAATACATAGCTCCCTAATGTGTTTAGTTAATGCCCTCACATGTTAGATCATATTTCACTATCCATAGACTCCTAACCATCTACAGAAATGGTATTTTTTGCATTGCCCTATATGTTCTCAAATACCTAAATGCAAATTTTTCATCTACACCATGTTATAATTACTTCTCTTACTCAAAACTCTCAATAATTGGGTGTTATTTACTGCCCAAAATCTCTCTTACCCAACTCATTGTTCAAACCATTTCACCCAAGTTCACATACCGTCTTACATCTTCCTAATGTGCAGACTTATG